TAAAANAAGGACTTATTTGTTCCAAAAAAAAGTTCAAGGACTTAATCATTCCAAACAAGAAAGTTCATTGGTTTTTATTGTACTTTTCCCTATATATTATCACTACCATTAACTCTTTTTTATTAGTAATAAATAATATTATTATTAAAACTATCATTTTTAATTGTTATTATTAAAATTAGATCATTTATCTTTACACAGTACTACAAATTCAATTATTCAAATTTTAAAATATAAGTTGTTAGTAATAAACAAATCAACAGTTTCAATGCTTCAATTAATTTTCAATTAGATTTCAGAATTAAAAATTTAAATATGTTAATTCGCTAGTAATTTGCTTATTTTATTATTTAAATTTTAAATCTGAAATTTAATTGAAAATTAATTGAAACATTAAAACTGCTGATTTGTTTATTACTAACAACTTACATTTTAAATTTTGAATAACTGAATTTGTAGTACTGTGTAAAGATAAAGGGTCTAATTTTAATAATAACAATTAAAAAGGATAGTTTTAATAACCATATATTTATTACTAATAAAAAAAAGTTAATGGTAGTGATAATAATAATATATAATACWTGTTTTGAGAAAATATAAAATATAAAAATTATTGAACAATGATTACAAGTAAATAAAATAAAAAAATAAAAAGTAATTAATAATGATTAAGTAATTATTACTTATAGATAGGGGTATTTGGTGGGGTGTAATTCCTAAGTAGGTGGGGTGTAAACCCACCAAGTCTAACTATTATATGATATAAGAATCATCAAATAACTTTTGAGACAACTTGTCTAGTTATGTCTCGTCTAGTTCTAGTCGTACCAAACATTAGGCAGACATTTATACTATTTAATTCTGTCATGTTCAATCATATCCAGTTTTGTCATCTTCAATCTTATCCAATCATGTTTGGATACCAAAAGCTACCTAAATAAACCTAAAAGTTAAATGAAAAACCTCATTTGTTTCCCTCGAACATGATATATATCGAAACCTCAAACACTAAAACCCCCTCACTGAGATCCCCTCATCGTCCCCCAATCTCCTTACATTGACGTTAGGGGTGCTCAAAAACCCGATGAACCCGACCAACCCAACCCGAATTTAAAAAAAAAAACCCAGCCCGAGGTAACCCGATGCATGATCGATAAAAAAAATTAGCCAACCCGACCTTATTGGGTTGGAATCGGGTCAGGCCCAAAAAAACCCGACCCAACCCGACAACCCGAGGAACCCGACCTTAACTTTAGCTTTGAATTGTAGATGACAATCATGACATGACCAACCTCAACGTCAAGAAAGTGAAAGCATCGGGGTTGGAAACGTCTAAAACTATTGTTGTTGATTGATGTATTATCATTTGGTTTAAACATTTTTATTGTAATATCTAAATATTTGATAAACTTGCATATTATCTTGAATGGTCGGTCGTATTTCAAAGAAAAGTTTCTTTTATTTTTATGTGATTTTACATTGTTTAAACATAACCCGATCAACCCGAACGGATTGGGTTGGTTGGGTTGAACTTTTGTTTGGATTGGGTTGGGTTGACAATTTTCAAACCGCCAACATTGGGTTGGGTTGTTAAAACGGCTCCAAACCGATCAACCCGGACCGTGAGCACCCCTAATTGACGTAGCCATCTGAATGTATGGATTTCTCAACTTTGACAATAACATTAGCAGCACAAGAAGCAGATGCATTAGGACTTGGTCTTAGCCATCGTTATTGTTGCGGATGATTTTGTTGTTGTACGTCATGTTGCCTCTGCCTTAACTGGGGTTGCTGCCAAAATTGATGTTAATGATAAGGGTTTCGAGATTGATAAGAGTAATTAGGGTTTGGGTAAAAATTTCCACTGTCGCCACCTTCATACCCTCCGCCGCTACCATGATTGTTGCCAATGGGGGGGGTGCTAGTGATGTTCATTAGAAGATGATCTTTCACTTACAAAGTTGGTTTTGGTTTAGATCCAAATTTAGAATTTTGATTTATGATTTTAGATTTAGGTTTTAGGGGTTTTCTTGACGTTCTTGGTAAAGCAGAACATGAAGAAGATAAATATTAAGAAAAATGAAAAATATCCTTCCTTTAACTGGACTTAATGGAAAAGGTTAACGATCGTTAGACTGAATGATGAAATTCATTGCGAAATGACAAACATGAGAAAATTTTGAAATTTAAGGATGATAAGATTGAAATTTTTTACGTTAAGGACCAAATTTGAACTTTACTCTACATTTTAATCAGTGTCGTTCCTGAGGTTTTTGGTGTCCTGTGCGAAGATCCTAAAAAATGCTCTTGTGCCTATTTTTTAAGCAAATGAAACGACGAAAGATACGATTTTACTAAAGGGTTTCGAACCTATTCAAGCTAGGCATTTCAACCTTACGTCGAATTTTATTAATTAACATGAAAAATACAAAGGGGGACATAAAAACCAAAACCCCAAATTACAAAATATAAATATAACACCTAAAACGATGTCTTCGCGCATTTCTTGAAGCAAATATATCAATTACTTTTTCATATTCAACATTCAGCAAGTCAGCAACTATTACCATAAGATGATAACTTGTATCAATTGGAAATACAATGAATGTATAATGTCAAAATTAATCAATTAAATATTACTATGTTAGAAAAATCATACGTTGGCTTCAGAAATAATGCAAACGACTTCCACAATTCCATTTTCAGTTCCAGTATCGAAATTTGAAGAAATACAATGCATTCGATTGTATCTAGATTTGTAGGATTGAGATTTGAGAGTCTAATTGACAATCATGTATTAGAGTATATATAATCGGGCAGTCGGCAATGCATCGATTGATCATCAAGATAAATTCGCCGTCCCATGGACAGTCGTTAGACTCGTCACTATTAATCGTCTTCCTTTGGATCTGGAACGTCATCGTCGAAAATCAAAAAACTCAAACACTCAAAGAACAATAGAAATCGTCAATTTCAAATCGTCAAAGTCAATCATCTTGTGAACTGTGATGCGTCTATCCTATTGTCAACGATTCAAGTCATTGGGTTTGTTATTAATAGGTATGGTCAGTTGGCCCTCTGTTTATAATTAAAACTAATCTCAAATTATTAAATCTCAAAACCCAAAACTAATACTATATAAAAATTTGATGCCCCTTTGGATTTTAATGCGCTGTATGATCGCACAGGCTGCACATGCACAAGGTCGGGCTTGATTTTAAGAATGAGAAAAATGATAAATAACAAAAAGATGGTCCAAAAATTGCAAAATGTGGTCCAAGAGAATGATAACTCCGTGTAACGCATTGATTTTTCAAATTTCAATCCTTGAACAACTACTCAAATAACCGAAGTTGGTTTACCAAATTTTCTATTAAGCCGTCTATAGATTAAGTTATTTGTCTATCTGGATAAAAATGTATTATTGACTCAATAGCCTGAATAACAAAAATGACTGATTTACCCCTCAACATGAATTAGACATTGTTTGACAAAGTGTTGTTTATTTTCAAGTTGAATTGACATTTTTTAAATATAAAAAATTATTTAAACATCAAAACATAATATCATAAATTAATTGATATCATCCCAATATCATTAATAAGTAATACTTAAAAATCCAATTTTAAATACAGTTTTTAAAATTTAAACAATGAATGAAACAGTATAATGGAACAGATTATCGGACAAAAAACTAGTACAAACACATATACCATGTCCATGGATAATTCTATTTAAATATCATCGGTCAATAGGAAAAAAGTGGAGAATGGAGCGTGTTTTAACAAGGGTAGGAGAGATAATTTTTGGCTGCTTAATCCGGACAAGAGAGATATTCTAACGGTGAGAATAAGCATGACTTTTTTTTTATCAAGTTGTAAATAAATATCCTATAGCGTATGTGTGAGTAAGTCAATTAGAACATTAAATTCATTGAGCCGTAAATAAACGGTCCTAAGTCTAACAAAAAAGGAGTTATATTTAATAAGAATTGACTCTTACCATCGATCCATGTTTAGCTAGTCAAAATTAACCGGCCTAGATCTAATCCTTAATGGGTCGCAAATCTTTCTTGCCCACCTCGATTGTGAACTATAGATGAAGGATACAAATCGAAAAAGAACATGTTCATGTGAGATGGTTCATTATGGAAAGGTTTGATCAGTTCGGAAATAATTATTGTTAGAACAGTTGATGGCACTTGGTGGTTGGTAGTGACATACAAAAGGTGAACCAGATCAGATTTAAAACGATGGTGTTGTTTATTGTTGTTAGAAATGGCTAGGAACTGTTTACTAAACACGGATCAGGTAAACACTTACCGGTCACTTACCATACAGGGTAAGCATGGCAAGCCTCGAGATTTTTACCTGATTGGGTGATTACTCTTACACAGTTAAAACCATGTAAGATTGTTGTCTATTATATCATGTTGTTGGCAGAAGATCTTACCTGGTAAGATAAGTGAGATCGGTAATTCTTACCTAATAAACAACCCCTACGATGAAGGAGAAGAGAAGATTAAGGTAGTCTACGAGAATCATGTCTACATTTCACTTGAACCTTTTTCTATTAATTTCTTTCCACACACATCAACTTAAAATAACCTTTTTAACAAACAAACATCGAAATAAATAACCTTTTTAACAAACATCGAAATGGCCCAAAATAGATTCAAATTGTTTTTTGTATTTGTTCCAATTGCTCTTCTAGGACCCCAAGACCCTAACCCTAACCCTTCCCTGTGCATTAGGGTGTGTTTCATACATACAGGCAGGTAAGACTGAGATAGGCCGGTGAAATATTATTTTAAGGTTTTATTTAACATGGACAGACGACATAGACATAGTAATTTACAACTCTTGTTCCACCACCATGATTTTTATTCCACTTATTTTGGTTTTTTTGTTCCACTCAAAATCACATCTTGTCCTCCTAGTCTAATGTTGTACATGCAACAAGCTGTTATTTTTAAATGTCTCGTGGAACGTATAGTCCGGATAGATGGGATGTAAGCATACATGTCCACTAACCATTACTTCCAACACAGTAGAGAGTGGGAATTGAAAGATAAAAAACCATTTTTTGTACATCAGCAGAGGTGGATCATACCTACAAGTTCTACAACTTACAAAGGGGTTGCTGCAAGTTTTTCAAAATCAACCTTTAAATCCATGATTTGATTACCAACCAGATGCAAGTTTGATTGCAACATCATAATCTCCTCATCCTTCACATTCTTCTTCTTCACACTCTCCACCAGTTTCTCTTGCAACTCCTGCATTTCCCCTTCAAGTTGATTGATTTGCTCATCGATTTTCGACTTTTCAACATTCTGCTTCTCGAGTTCTGTCTCGACTTGTTTCAACTTATCCTTGAGCTCACCTACTTGTGCTTTTCTAGATAGTAATTCATTCAAACGAGCTCGTACAGCACCCACGTCAAACCCATGAGTCTCCAAGTCGCCTACAGTTTTCAAACTGTTCTCGAGCAAGTCATTGGCATCATCCAACTTTAGTTTCGAAGTTCTTTGAACCACATTCGCAAATGTCACCATGTGGGCGATGGCAAAACCCTCACGATAATCCTCTTTGACCTTCTTTAACAGAGAAAAGTGTGGCTTTTGTGGTGAATTCTGGTATAACTCAAGAGATTCAATGGTGGCCCAGATTGGAGACTGCTTGGTGAAAGGCCACTCTTGTTGGTATTTGGTTATTTCACGATTGTTGACTATGGCTGGATTCAATGCATCACTTGGTTCATCACGGTGGTCAAGAGCACTACAACGAGAACCTCCTAAGTATGCCAACAAGAACCAAGATAAGATAAACCAAACCAAACCAAACCAAACAAACCTAGTATATCCCACCCAAAGATGAGATCTGGGAGGGGTAAGATGTATGTATGCAGACCTAACCTCTACCCGGCTTGTAAAATGTACGAAAAGAGAAAAGCATAAAAGATAAATACAAGTAAGCAAAAGCATACAAATATAAGCAGGTGCAAGAAACACGGAACCCATATTGAAACGAATTAGCTTACCTGTGTTCTTCATAACCTTCATTGGATGCAGCCCTTGATACCAGACAGATAGAGGTTGTTCATCAAGTTCAGTAGTCATTTCATGAATGACAGAAGAAACCCTTTCCCCCGATTCTTGATTGTCTGAATATATACATTACATGCCACAAGATTCAACATTAAAGAGAGCTCTTACACTTTATGCTACTCCTTCCATCCAAAAAAAACATCTCTTTTATAAAAACCAAATGAACCCCGTATATTACACTCGAAAGTAGGGTCTAGAAGGAATAGGATGTACACACCCGAAGGATAGAGCAACTGTTTCCATGAACTCCAACTTGTGAAAAAGAATAAGCAACTAAAAACGGAGTAAGAAATAGGTACATTGAAACATAGATATTTTTAGTTTCTTCTTTCCAACAGGCTTGTATTCTAACACCGTTTATAAACTAATGCAAACCAAACCAACTCTCGAAAGTAGGGTCTAGGTGAGATATAAGTAGACCTGTCCTCTACCTTAAAGAGTAGAGTGGTTGGATTCGTGAAGATTGATGGTATATATGGTACCTTGCCTGAGGATATTTCTTGTTTATTTTGAGGTTAAAACTTTAGCTTGTTCGACACTCGAATGCCAAATACGATATGTTCATAGGACAAGGCCATTCAAACTTGCTAATAACAAAGTACAGTGGTTCTATCGTGCTTCTCAACTACATATTTGTTATTTTAAATATTTAAAGTTATAGAAAGAAAAATAATTATTTTATTCTGTACCTTGTAATAAATCATTTGGCATTTTAATCAGTGACCTTGGAGGTCTACCCCTCTTTCTTTTCTGGGGGATCTTACCGGACTCTGCTTCACAAGTTTCCTGTTGAGAACCAGAAACAAATCAAACCTAAAGCAAAATTTGTCCGACGAGAATCCAAGTTTATTTATGTTAAATTTGTATCTAATCATCTGCAAAGTTGTCCAAAAAGTTGTTTAGATTTGAAAGCAGAGGCCTTTTTGGGACTGATGGATTATAGACTTCAGGGTCCTGTTTTCTTTCATGGTTTGTTCCGAAATGGAACCACGTTTGAAAATTAGACCAAAAAACGGCAGGACGTTATAGTTTCACTTTAACTTTTGGTGCTAAAAATGGAAGAGAACTTTGCATCTAGATTTCATACATCATGTAAATGAGAATCTCAAACATCGTATCTTTTATCAAGTTGCTACTTTTTCCAACCATTGTAGTTGGTTTCTTTATGCAAATAGACCATTGTTCTTGCAAAAATATGAAAATATAAATGCAAAAAATATCCATAGGTGGCAAGGTTTATCAAAATTGCTCATTCTTACAAGCATAGCGAGCCTTTTTCTTTTTCTTTTATCCAAAAGAAGCATGGTGACTGAAAAGCTAATCATTCATTCCTTGCCATGTGTGAATTGGTTAGTGAAAATGCTACTCCATCAGAGTGCTAAAAATCCTTACCGTGATGCTTATTTCTTGCTCGAAGAGAAGTGAATCTTGATGTATCGCTTTTGATCCACTAGCTCCCAACAAAGGCACCACAACTTCAGTGTTTCCCTTGCTACCTATACCATAAATCCATATTCCATAATCCACGTGACATTAGATTCAATTCATTTTGTTCATACAAATTTTATGTTAAAAGGTCACAATTTCAATTATGTTATCATAAACGGAGATGAGACCCACGTAATGGGCATAAAAGAAATTTAACCCAAGTTTTTCACACCTGCGGAAGATTGGAATCTTTTACCATGAGAGTTTCTCTCACCTCTCTTGTTCCTATTATATGTAACTGAAAGATCTGGTCCACCGACGGTCTCCCCATGAGCTACCTGCGTTCGTTAGTGGTGAAAATTTTGACTATGGACATCCGTTCATAACAACAATCAGTAAGAGGAAACTTCAACTCACAGCTATTTTTTGTGAACCACTCTTCTTTTTAGCAGAAATTTGAGGGCCAACAGTTGGGTTATCTGGATCAGTCATTATAGCTCCTTCAGAAGGTGCGGTGAAGCCTGAGTGAGCATCATCATTGGACTTTGGTGTTTCTGCAGCATTTATTACGGCAGATTGATGCTCCAGTGTCTGCATGATGTTAACGAGTAATTAGTATTCAAATATGAAATGAAAATACGATTTTGACTTTTGTATTCGAAGAAACTGTTACCATATAGAATATAAAGATGAATGCAATAGCCCACAAACCTTTTTTGTTGTTATACAAGTTACTAACTTTGTGTATTCAAAACCACATATAGTTCGCTCACTTTGTGTGAATGAAGATGTTTCTGAGCAATGTATGTGGTAGAGTGATATCAGCAATCGAAATCGAACATAAACCCTAATGATAAACCCTAATGCTCTTCCAGCAAATACCCAAATCCCTGAGTAAAAACATAACCTAATTGGGTTTAAAATGGGAGCAAAACCGTAATCAATTTCTGCGATTGAAAGCGAAATATACCTTTTTTGGTGGGACCTGCCAACGGCCGTCAATCCAATCAACGTGAAGTCGCAGCTCAGACTTTTCAAACTCAACTTCCTCAGGAGGACTTTCAAACGAAACGATATACTTTTTAAACTCGCCATCGATCATCACCTTAGTTACCACACCGATCCACCATCCATCTAAATGGTAAGCATCTACGACGTCAAATAGCTCAAAATCACAACCAACCTCCTCCGCCTCCGCCTCCGCCTCCGCCACCTCATTATTACGGCGAGGATAGCGAGGAGGCAAAGGTCTTACGAAGGAAGGGTCTACGATTTCCATCAAATGCTCAGACAAATTACATTCTTGAAACAAGGAATCATACTTAACAATATAACCGATTTTCTTCCTACGTTTGCTCTTGTGTTTGGACCCCTTACTTTTGGACTCTTGAACATTTACATTATCCAGCAAGGTAGCAACGTACCATGCACCCTGGAATCCGGCGTCGTCACTGCTTACTTCAACACGAGACCCTTTGCTAAGCACCATTAGAGGGTTTTGAAAATGGAGTTTTTTGGGCATCGTTGCCCCAAATTTTGCTTTTATACCGTCGTTTTGGTTTCTGTCTTTTGTTATTCCATCTTGTTCCAGAATAAGAAAAAGGTTTTTTTTTTTGTCTTATCTTATCCCATTTTGAACCAGTTTTTTTTTCCTGTCTTATTAGTTATACCACATCAAACGTGAACAGTGAGTTACTATTTTGTCACATATCATATCAAATGTGGAATAATAAGTCTTGTACCGTCTTGTCCCGTCATGTCTTATGTACCAAACATATCAAGACATGTGGTTTACAACATAAAATTTTAATATGTATTTTTTACATTAGATTAGATGAAGGATTGTTTGAGAATTGGAGTTAAGTACGAAGAATAAGAAGAGATTTGCATGGTTGGATCCTTGATCATTTTTCTTTCTCACCTCATAAATTGTGTTTCTCATGGAAATTGATCTGGTATGTTTTATTATTGTTAATCTTCAATTACGATTGACTTAAATGTGGAAATCTTTTCTTAGTTTTCTTGTCATAACTTTCATTCTCACGAGAACATAACCCTTTAAATTTTCAGACCCAAAAAACATTAAATTTGAAAACAATAAATTTCTATACCTCGGCCCGTTCCTAATACTTTATAGACCCTAGGTGAGATGTAGAAAAGGCCCTCAATAAATATGAAAAATCTTTCAATATATAGTTTTTATCATAAAAAAAGAACGTTGAATTCAAAATATACTAATAATTCATATAAAAACTTTCCGAGTATTTCTAAACATAAAACCAATCAATAATTATTTATAAATTAGAGAAAAGTTAAAAAAAACTCAATGGACTTTAGTATTTGGAATGATTAAGTCCATAATTTTTGGAACAAATAAGTTATTGGACATTTCAAAACATATTAAATAATTCTTTAAACTTTCTAAAATCACATGTAAATATATTATATATAAAAATAATCGAGCCCCCAAATTTTTATGGATCCTAAACGTACCTCTGACCCACCTTCTCGAGGAACAAACGTTGCATGTAAGAACCTTATGTATACATATTTTTCCATTAATATTATTAGTCGTATGTATATACAGTGCATTCCGCATGTGGGTGTTTAGTAGGTGGGTGAAGTTGCACCAGATGGGGCTTTTTGCAGGAGGGTTTTTTTGGTGTTGTGTGTGATATTTGTTGTGTGTATATACATACTTGGTGTGCATGTCTTGTGTATATATAAACCCACTATGTATAGTGTTAGTGTTTATATATATATATATATATATATATATTATATATACACAAAAGATCTTGTGAATGATAAATATAAGAAGAAATCTAGATACTTAAATCACTTTTAATCTCATCCACCACATTAATTACATTTATCATGAGAATTGATATAGTGCTTTTGAGTGCACCACATTAATGTTGATCTTCAATTATGATTGATCTAAAAGTGAAGATCTCTTCTTAATTATCCTTCTCACCGGAACTCAACGATATAGGGAGAAAAAATGAATTTTTATTCCTGTTTAACCTGGAATAAAATTTTAAGTTTATGAGAGAATGAATTTTAGTATATATATATATATAGAGAGAGAGAGAGAGAGAGAGGTTGGTTATTATACAACCTTTGTCATTTGTGCAACCAATACAATCCAATCTCAACCGTCCATTTCATTTGATTAATATGTGATTTTATAGAGGTTTTGATTATTTCCTAATATAAAGTATTAATCATAATTAATGAACTGTATTCATCTTCCATAAATATTTAAATCATAATAAATGAAGACTAATCATTTCCATAAATATTTCAATTTATTGGGTTGCATTGGTTGTACAAATACGATAGGTTCTATTTGAAATAAACCCTATATATATATATATATATATATATACTAGTTGTGTACCCGAGCAATGCGACGGGAGCCATGAATTTTAACAATTTTGAAGTTCTACTGGTTTTATAAGATAAGATTTAACGATGATATAGGTTACACTTGGTCTTTACATATTAATACAATTTTAACAAATAAGAGTTATGGTTCCAATTACAAGCTATCGATGAAAAAAATTGTATGACAGTTTAAAATCCAATATATTTAAATGATTCCACAAATGTGTACGATTTACACCAAGAGCAAAAAACCAAGAAACTTGAGTTTTAAGATAAACACTCAAAAC